TATACTTTTTCATCTTCGTGACTGCGACTAACCCCTTAAGAAAAAGAAAAAGAAACGTTACGTTCGTTTCGCCTGAACGCGGAACGTTAGCCCGCCACAAAATTGCTCGCGACTCAATTCAACAACAACAAACGCGAAAACAAAAAGATGGGGGGAAATAAATGGGACGGAAACAAAAAAATGAAAAGGAGACCACGGGGAACGAGGAAGAAAACGCGCGTGGAGGGTACGACGAGCCCAAACAAAGAGCAGAACGGAGAGAAGCGAAGTCTCGTAGAGGAGCTCCGTGGGGGAGCAAACATTAATGCCACCCCGCAGACCGCAGATGTTGCGCCAATTACAAACCTCACCCCTTCCCCGGCTGCTGGCGCCGTCGCGCTTTCTCGCTCCACGCCGTCAACCCCTTCCCGCGGCCAGAAAGGGAGAAACAAGGAGGAATACGGCGTGTCTCGACTTACGAGCTCGATGTCGCATACCTTCCTGCCTCTAGCTCTTTGTCTTTTCTCCTCCCGTCTTCCCTCGTCGTCGACGACGCTCCGTGCAGCTTAGATGCAGCCCGCTGGCGGTCGCGGGGACGTCGGGAGAGCGGTGGGTTGGGCACGGCCCAACGAGACACGAATTTTCGAAAAGGTTCTCGCACTTTGTTAGATTAAATTTAGCACAAGGCGCAAAAGGACGCCTCGACTCCGCTCGCTCTACTCGTTCTAGCTCGCTTCGCCGAAAAAAGAAAGCGGTTCGAAGGGTTGCGAAGGAACGGCGAACGGGAGGGAGAAAGACCGTCCGGGACGGGGTAAAACGAAATGGTAGGGGAAGGGAGAACACGGAGTACGCCGGTGGCTGATATTATTCTTGGGTCTTCCTCGCTGGTGCATTATTAGTTCTGGCGTGTTAGCATACATGAAATATTGATGTTACACGGGGCCCCACCCTCGACCCTCACCCTCTTGATCCCCGCGTCCCTCGGCCCCTCGACTCTTCAGATTTTACACGTACACGCACGACCATCCACTTCTACTTTCACGACTTTTTCACTTGTTGTTCCCTGTGTCCCCTGTCCCTTTCTCGACTTTTCCTGGTTGCCGATTTTTAGGGCTTTTAAATTCTCTTGTTTGATCTCTTGTAATCCACTTCTTGATCGTTTCGACGTGTATTTTTAAGGGATCTCCGCCGAGGTTCGATCATATGTTCGTAATATACAGTCAATCCCATAAATATTCGGACTCTCTATAGCTATTGAAGAAATTTGCTTAAATTTAATATGGTAGGTTTGATGTTTCCAAGTGTATGTTTGTATAAATATGTTGAAATATGTATAAATGTACACATGTGTAAGCTTATTCATATATATATTTATAATGAAAAATTCATTTGGTAATATAAAAACTAGTATTTCATTTAGTCAAACTTCTTCAATTGTCATAGAGGGTAGGAATATTTATGGGATTGACTGTACATATACATTATTATGGAACGTGATTAATGAGAGTGAAGTCTTACAAGTGAATAGATAGAAATAATGTAGAACGATTGGTGTGTAGCAATTCTTTTTAGAAATAATTTTATTTAAGATCTCATCAACGTCTAGGTTATTAGCGACCACATTTGACAAAGCGATTAGTTATTTATGTAAATGTCATCCTCATACTTCGACCAGTAAATTGTGTCTGTCCAATGCTTTCGTAAATTTATAGAACTCGCTCGTATCGTTTAGTACTACTATATCTAAAGTCTTGAGACGTTTATTTTGAATGCTTTCTTCAAATGCTTGCTTCAAAGACAATGCACGACTGCGTTCTTATTAAAATGAAATCTATGTTAATTTTATTTTAGTAATTTATTCGTTTTTAGACAATCGCTGTACGAAATTAAATAGTGTCGATAATAGGCTTGAAATACCTGAACGTATTTACGTATTTATGATGCATAATTTCTGAATACTTAATAGAACGTTCGCAACACATCTTAATCGTCTCGCGTGTGTGTAATAATTTCGAACGGCTTGAGTTACGTTGTTGAAACTTTGTAGGAGGCAGTCTTTGAGCTGCTTTGTGGCTTTTAATTTTCGACCGCTTTACACCAAGTTTACCAAAGTTTCACACGCAACAGGCTTCAAAGTGAAGTGTAAATTTACCTCATCGTGAACTTGCAATTTTGCAAACATCAGTCTTCATGACGAAATAATTAGCATTGTTATCGGTTCACGGGACAATATAGTGAACAAATTAATATTAGATATTAAGCCCATATTTAAATTCCATTGTTAAATTCATTGAGATATTACTTCTTTCCGAATTAATTTTCTCAAACTATTATAATTTGGTCGTAATAAAAATGATATACAAATATTGACATCATTTTTCAGTATTAATATTAAATATCTGTTTTATTTTGTAATTTAGTAGCGTCTATAGTTTTAGAAAATTACTTAAGGACAACGAAATGAAACGTAAAAGAAACACTAGTTTGACGTTTGTACTTTTTGAACACATAAAATGGTAACAACATGAGAGTAATCGTATTACTACAAATTCCTCTCTCAAAAATGAAATTCTTCTCTTTCATATGGAACATGTGAAGCTCTTCGCATAAGTCTTTATAAGAAATCGGCAAAAATCTCATCTATCTCAAAATCTCGTATATAAAGTAAAAAAAGGAACAATTTTGAATCTATCATGTATTAAATAAAAATGACAAACTGACAGCTTATACGAGTAACCGTTCAAACGAATAAACATTTTAAATAAATGTTTACACACAGTTTTTATACGTGTTCTGTAATTGGAATAAAATTCTGTGCCAGTTACTAATTTCTATATGAATCAAATTGATTATTTTTAACAATATGTATTACATTCATTAATGAAACAAATTGAATTGCAGACTTTACGTCTATAACAGGTACACAAACAGACGGAAACTCAATGAATAAAACACGATATAATGAAACTGAGTCAAAACTGCTGGAGTTGTTGCGAGGTAATTAAGTTTCTAAGGTTCGCTGATGCACGTAAAGTGCTTCGTTGGCTTGTTAGAAACGCGCTAATTTCTCAAGGAAACCTTGGAAACGATAATTAACCTTAACATTCTGGTTAATTATTGGAAATTTAGAACTAGCCACAAGAGACGCTCATGCGTTTGAATTAGGGTGTCTGATTATAGTAGATAATCGACTAAGCGTACATTTAAGTACCTGTTAATGAGTTAATACGATTCTATGCTTCATTTTCAATTATTCAAACCTCAACCAGCTTACTAGTTTCAGTTCGTGGAACTTTTGCTTGCCAAGAAGTTTGGAATATTGGTCACTTTTCAAATAGAGAATCAGTAATATCATAACTTGTCGAAATTAGTATTTACTTAAATACAGACTATTACACAATGCTGCAAGTTCACATATTCCATTTTTCATTGAACAATGATGAATAATGGAATGAGAAATACAATACTAATTGATATTGAATATAACCTTTCATTATAAATATTAATTTTATGTTAATATCAGGAATACCAAACGAATTGTTTTGATGCAGAGAGCAACATGTGCGTGCAATATCGGAAATTTTAATGTCTAAAAAGGTACATTAAAATGTTTAATGAAATGTAAATATTCATCAACAGCGATTTTCAAAATAATTCATATTGAATGCAAAAAGGGGGCAACAAATCACGAAGCATCCGAAATTCTTAAACGAAATATTAAATTTTAAGTAAAACATTGTATTTTATGGAAAATTACTCATGTTCCAAAGATAGTTGATATATTAAAAAATTAGAACGTCACGTAATATTGCTATATTGTATTGTTTAATAAAAGTAGTACAAATGACAAAATTTGACCGAATATTTTGAAAATATGTTTACTTGTTAGATTATGTTATGACTGCATAAATTAGATTTTAATTAAATAAAATTCAATAAAATTGTATATAATTAGATCAAATTAATTTCATTTAAATACAATCTAATAGAATTGTATAGAATTTTGTAAGATTATATAAAATTGATTTCAAATAAACACAACTTTATGAAGTTAAATAAAATTAACTAAAACTTTTAAGAATGATAAAAGAAATAAATAAAGAACTTATATTTTATTTATTAAAAGTATCAAAAGCGTAACTTTGTATTAGTAGTGATATTGGGAATTTCAGTTTATGACTGTAAAAAAATCATTTGCAAAAGCAATTTGATTCATCGAGCCATCGAATATACAACACAAGGGATTTTTCTTTATTTGACTGCTAACTTTATCGCATTATTACATTTTTGTTGCATTTCTGCCTCACTGCACCCGTTTCCTCTTTTCCTGAGTTTTCCCGCGGGAGATGTCTGGGTGATCGATGCGTTCGTCGAAAAAAGATCAAGATTGAAGAGAATGCGTTTCACAGGTAGACTCGAAGCCAGAAGAACTTTTTGTCATTTACATTTACTTTTCTCAAGTCCTACGAAATTTCCATGTGTCTCACTCTCTAATCTGACGTTCTGTCCGTCACGTTGTTAACGTAAATTCGACGATCACAATTTTCGTGATCACGGTACAGTAAGGAAGCAAAATAAAAAAGTTAAGACGAAGTCTGCGAGTACATTTACAAGCTAAGTTTATAAATAAATCACATTTGTGCTGCTTAGATGTAACCCCACAAACTATATTTTTAAATCTCTTGATTTAATAATGTATACTTAGAAGAATAAAATGCATTCATCAATTATTTTGAAACACGAATAAAGAAAATGAATGTAAACTGTCAAAGAATTACGTGTAACTGTTGAAATCATTTTGAAGTTCTTGTGAAATACGAGTGAGGAATATTAACAATTTTCTTTCGAGGTATAAACAAAGTTGAATTAATAGAATATTTTGTTCATTTATATTCAATTTATATTCGTTTTCTGAATTACTTAACATGATGAAGTACCTTCTTCTGCACAAGTGCTTAAATTATTTTCCATGTATGAATCTGCATGAACAAATAAAGTAATAAGCTAATGTATAGACTTACCTGCTTTCATGCTTTTTTCATTGTGAATGGTCAGTGAGCTTGGATTCCCGTAAACGGAGTTATTCATTTCAGCCATCAGGTCCCAGTCTGCACAGAAAATATCACTTCATTGCAGTCCACGTGGAAAAGGAACGAGGCAGAAGTTCTTCGAAATTTCAGTTATCAACTTCTTTCCTGTTTAATATGCGTACATAATCGCCGAGAGTATACAATGTACGTCGTATAAATAATGAAACGTGGCCATTCGACTGAAGGTCGGGAACTAAATTACTTTCCCTAAGAAGTCTGCGAAAAGTTAAGCTTCTTTCCAGTGCGGAGTCGCGGAAAATACATCAATAAAATTCAACTCTACTTTCAACATATTTATTATCCCGAGACCTTTCATATTTGCAACTAATTTTTTATTTATGGTTTATTGACAATTTTATGAACACTAAATTGAAAACTTAGAAATTACAAGGAGAGTTCCACAAATTTGATAGTACATTTGTCCATAAAATTTATGTAAGGTGAGTATGTCTAATTTGAATACTATCCTGGTCATCAACAGTTTCGCCTAATTTAATTCATGCGATAATTAACAGTTTTTAGTAGAAAATATTTAATTCTATAATTAATACATGATACACGAAATGTTTTAAGGTATGTTGCAACAATATTGTGACAATTTTAAAATTATACAAATTCAGTGTTTGGTAAATATGCTACAAAAATAGTAATCAGAATTTTCCAATATCATTCAATGTTTGCCAAAAAGTGTGTCGATAATTGCGATATTTGTTTTACGCTTGGAAGCATTCTGTTAACGATTTTATACATTTGAAAATTGTAAATATTGGCGACATGCAATCTGTAATTTAAAAATAACCAATTATGAAATTTGTGAATTATTTAAATTGAAGACATATTGTAAACATTTTTCATTAACCCTTTACTACAGCCGTATGGTGCCAGAAATAACTACTATGTTTATATATCTTTCATGCTTTTTGAAATAATTTAACTTCAACAAATTATAATGTTCAGTATCTTCCGAAATCTCAGTCGAATTTCTGTATGCAAAGTAAGCACTCCTTGCAACAACGTATTCCGTGTGAGTTTCATACATGGCGGTCTCTGCGTTAGCATCCATAATTTTCAGACATGTGTGCTGAGCAGTTCGTGCGATAAAGCCCACGCTGAAGTGAATTCTCTTTCGCTTAACACCGTACACTAAATTATTTCAATACTGTAGTAAATAATTCTAAATATTATAGAGCATAGGGATACACAGATTATACACTGAAAGAGAATTCTATAGTGCATTTGTTAACCAATAGCATTTGGAAGTATGTTAAAAGTCCATATTGAATAAATATTCTAAATAAATCGTTGTTCTGTTTTTATATTAGGAGTATTAGGCTAATTAGAATCATATCTAAATTATTTGTGGTAAAATAATTTGAAAAATAGCAAAAATAATTCAGTCTGAATTAAATCACGGATAACTTTTGGAGTCACAACTGACCCCATAAATTTTTTAATTATTTACAGCTATTATGCCTTCTTTGTGTGAATTATAGCTTTATTTAATTTCAAGTAGGTACTTTATACAAATTTTAATTGTTTTAAATTAAAAGTTATAGATGCAACAAATATTAATATTGAAATGTATATTTATGATTCTCATGGTTAATCCCTTAAGCTACAACCACGTGTGAGATTCGTGGTCGGATATTTGGGCTAAAACTGATTGTCACGAGCCTGGGCCGTGGTGTTGTTAGGGCCAAATATAACCATCACAGTTTGGTCCCAGGTTGTTGGAACTTAAATTGTAACTTAACTCTTTAACCTATAACAACGCGTGAGGCTCGCGGTACAGAATTTGAGTCGAAGATGAAAAACACGAGTCAGGCACGACGTGTGAAAGGACCCAAGGAATTTTATACTTGATTACGGCACATACGATCCTACAGTAAATCGTAGGTCAAAGGGTTAAGGGGTTAAATTCATGAGCTATAAAGAAAAAGTTCCATCCAGTATTACAAGGATATTCTCTATCGTTTAGTAAACTGTTATACAACGTGAATAATTCTATAACACATCTCAATACATTTTTTAAAACTTGTCAAAGTACTTTGATCAATTCACAGATATTCAAATGTCTACACCTCCGTAGTTACGAGTCAACGAAAAAAATTCAATTTCTTTTCAATTCAACGTCAAATTCATTCAAATCTACTTCAATTGGATTCAGCGATTGATACGTTACGAAATAAAAAAAAAGAAAACTCGCGAAGAGAAAGCAACACCTTCGCTCTCATTCGGTACACAAATTCACTCTGCGAAACTGTTGAACTGGATTACAAAGGGGAAAGACGAAGAGAACGGTCTCGGAATTCAGCGGCGTAACGAGGAGCGGAAGCGAAACACGAAGAGGAGCAAACGCCGTGGAAAGAAGCTCTCTCGAAACGTTATCGAGAAAAAATAGAGGCACGCCACCACGCCAACGCTTCCGCGTGATGAAATATTATTTTCCCCCCGATTAAGGAAGGTTTACGAGCTCACCTTTCTTCGGCAACTCCGTGGTGGACGGACTGGGGCTGGTGGTCGGCGGCGGGGACTCTGCAACCAAAGAAACAAGTTTTTATTTTTAATTAAAGTTTCTTCCCTTCTGGCGTAGGCGCGTGTGCCGTTAGAACCGGCGTCGAGAGGGGGTTGATTTCCACGCGAAAGGGGGGTTTGGCGGAGATAGGTGTGCCAGGAGAGGCGTGGAAGCTGCAGGGACCGTTATGGATCGCGCCACCTGTTACTAACTTCGCCCTCAAACGTATTAGCCCCCGTGGCGTCGGCCAGACCGGCCGAACTCTAGATCATATTTTACAAGGTTACCTACCCTCTGCCCCCCTCCCTTTCCCATCAGTCCCGTCGGCCTCAGTGAATACAGTTGAATAATTATTCCTAATATCGTCGTTCGTCCGGCGTATTCTTCGCTGTCACACGGATTTACTTATAGCTGAAGCTGACTACGGAGTACGCCAAGTTTTAAGTATACTTTGTTTCTTTGAATCAGACAAGCGTGATTCGTTTTTGTCTTGCGATGACAAGGAGTTCGTATCTCGAGGGAGAGTGACAGATTTTAGGAGTTCAAGGTTATTCTTCTCCCACTGTGAATCGAAACTACACACGATCACCTCGCTATTGTGGTTCAGTCACGTGACAATTGTGTTTTTTTATTTTTATTTTTCAGGTGGTAAGCCGTTTATATTTCGAGTGAAAGTGAAAGATTTTGTTCAAGATTACTTCTCCCACTGTGAATCGCACTACACGCGATCAACTCACTATTTTGGTTCAGTCACGTGACAATTGTGTTTCTTTTATTTTTCAGGTAGTAAGCCGTTTATATTTCGAGTGAAAGCGAGAGTTTGGTTGTTCAAAGTTACTTCTTCTAATCTGAATCGTGCCACATATACTCCTCCTTTGACACACTATCATGGCCCGACCACGTGACCGTTTCTCTGTGGTGAGATCCACATTTTCTTTTCCATTGTATTTATCGTTACTCTTAATATCAAGTTGTACGTGTCGACACATGAGCGGTTCACTGCACTTTTTGAAAAATCTTAAATTTAAATGTCAAAGCATTTGGTATAGACATAAATTTTTATATTTATAATAACTTTGCTGAAAAGGAATCGAACTTTTTCAATATTTATTTGAATTTATATTATAAAGGGAATTTTAAAAAAACAGTTCACATTATTTCATCGCATTTTTTAACTTTTTATTTTATGGATATTACTCTATGTTTAAGTGTATCTGAAATTAATATTTTTAGTTAAATACGTTGCTATCTTGAAAAGTTACATAATTAACGTAGTACGAATATTTACCTTTTTGCTTTAAAATAGTAAAACGATGGCAAACAACATTATAAGGGGATGATATAATATAGCGTGAATAATTACTTACTAGGATGACCCACAATTGGTCGTAATTAATTTCACAGATCGACCACAATATGCTTTATATATCCATTAAGAGAATTCTTTCTACTGTAAAGAAACCGAGCTTTAATCGAGTCCCTTTTATTTAAAGAAAGGAATTTTTTTTGTATTTGGGACTCTGTAGTTTCTAACATTCTAGAAAATACTAGATTCAAACGCAACCAAACTAAGTACATAAATGTCAGTGTATATACTTTGAAGAAGTGTGTACATATTAGTCTTGGGTGAAATTGTAGAGCGAGTTTCATCGGCCAATGGTGTGCACGATCTATCAAACTCGTTCGTCTGTAACGCAAACATGAATGCTCCAAATGAACTGCATACACGTGTCTACGATATGCAGTACAATATGTACGGCTAAAATTCTCGTATTGATTTTATGACAGGATATCGATAAAAGCTCCGCGAAAGTTCTCATTACTTGCGAGTAATATGCTGTCAAATTCGCAATTTCATTTTCCCAATCCATTTTTATCGATCCTTCGCCGGACCTTTTGTATTATATATCTACTAAATTGACCGGATTGATGAATAAACATTAATATACAGAACGTTGATAGATCATTATATAGTATCGTATCATTTAGAACCATTTCTTTTCCTAAATGATAAATCAAAATTAAAGGAGTAATGGCTATAAGAATTTTATATTGAAACATTGTTACACTTTTGAATCTCTTGTCATAAATTTCTGCAATGCAACCTTGTTATTAATACGATCATATGGATTAGTTAATTGATTTGTTTTATGGTCGGAAGCATTGAATGTAATAGATTATAAATTCGACCTTTGCTGTGTCTAAGAAAAGCTGGTTTTGGCAATCTCACTGATACACCAATTTTTCGTTTTTATGGAACAAATTAATTAACAATTCATATATATATTGGAGACATGAATATGTTTTAAGATTGTGTAATTGTGTTTCCATTATAAAATGCTTCTACCTAGCCACTACTTCCTCAAATTTAAGTAAATAAACAGTTCCTCCAAAAAAGCGTTTGAATGTAATCTTTTAATAAGATACAAACGAAATGGAATATATACAATTCCTCTATTTTGAATGAAAGTATACAAAATTACAATTAAACTTGAAAGATAATTTAAGCGTTCATTACGATTACACAAATTCATTTGTCTTTTATTAAAATCCTTAATTCTAAATTCCCTTTTGCGAAACTTTTTGGAAAGTCAATTTTCCGCCACCTCCCTTACATTCTCGCTGAAGTTTCAATCAAACACCTCTCTAATTCTTATTTTCTGCCTTTTGATGACAGAAACGGTGGACTGCGATTTCAAAACGAACCCTGTTTCGGAGCGCAGGCAATTTCAGCGGTGGTGATCGAGCATCGGGGAAGGAAATCGTCAAAATTACTTGTGTGAAATTCCGCGGCAGACACGTACAAACTAACTCGTGTCAGTGTGTGACGCGTCCATCGCGAAAAAGTCATCGTTATTTGTCACGGACGGCTGAGCGATTACTCGTATGTGGAAAGTGTTCGCCAGCATTCCACGAGATACTTTCACGGTACCGAAGGCAAATAGGATGGGATGACAAAGTGTGCTTCTTGGCAGACGTGTTTACGCGCGTGGACATAATGCAAACATGTGCTCGCTGCCTTTATTGCGAGATAAGGCTTAAATTACCCCCACCGTCGTCTCTTTCGCAGAAATCACAGTAAAATAGCGACTTTCCCTCTCTTCGTCTACTTCTATTACTTTTTCGTTTCAATTTAATCGCATTGTGTCCATCTTTTCTGCTGTTTTTCGTTAGGATTCGTGAATCGTGCAATTGTTTTTGTAAATATAGAGTTGGAAAGAAAATCCTTGTGGAAATTTATTTTTATATTTATTCACTCTGACGTAGATTATGCTGTTTTATAATAATATATAATAATATAATAACATTTTATAATATAATAATATCTTGTTTTTGTAAAAATTTATATTTTCAGTATTGGTAAATAAATTCTATTTATAGTTAAATAAATTAAATATGAGTTTCTATGAAAACTTTCTTACCAATTTTATAATAAAACAAATTGTTCGATATAAGAACAGGATAAAATATTAATTTATTCCTTTGAACTTTCTGGAATAATAAATTAGAAATTTAAACCATACAATGAATTTTGCATTTTCCTAAAAATGTAATATCTAAAATATAGTTCCCTAATGTGATGCAATAGAAATAAAATAATGAAAATTATTTGTCAAAGAAAAGGAAGAAGCATAAGTAAAAAAGAAAAGAAAACTAGAATTAGATAAAAAATGCGTGATTATTAATTTTCAAACAAAAATTCTATATTCGATAGATATTTACATGGAAATATGTTGTTTTTTTTTTTAATTAAATTGGTTATTTAAAATTAAATGGGACATTCAGTGTATTTTTGGAAAGATAGAATTGTTCATTATTGACAATTCCCATACATACGTAGTAATGAAAACCAAAAAAGGTAGTTAGTATAAACAAACCATATGTAGATTTGAGGGTTCTCATCGTAACAGTAATTCACGTAATTTCACGAACAATGTTTGTGTACGAAACTTCAGAAGAGTGAAACAATTGGGACGTATGAACCATCTGTTCAAAATTAGATTCAGAGTACAGTAGGAAAATATTGACACTATGTTAACGTGAAAATATCTCTTAATGACTAAAGTACAACGCGTGCGATTCTTGTTAATTTAATTGCCAATAAGTAATTACAAGGATAAACAATTTTCAACGTTCTATTTAATTATGGAGGTATCGAATTCTCTTATTCATTTGCTTTGATTAATAAATACGTTGATTTGTTTCATCGGTATACGTTTCGTGCGTGCGCTAAATGCGTTGAGAAACTTGGATTATTTTCCTTTTTAGTGATATTTAATCGTATACGTTTCAATTTATTCGAAATTATTGGTAAATGCTAATGCGTCTGCTTTATGTTGTTGTGATCGTTAGTCACATGTAAATTTGTTTAATAATTTGTTGAGTAAACCGAAGCTTCTGTTGATTGCACATGGACGTACGCCAGTTTCAATCGTATTTGCGATTCTGATTAGTATCTAAATTTCCACTGATTAGCTAAAAGGAACATTAAAACATCTACAGACTAAATTTTCAAAAAATCACTGGATTATAAAACTAGCTTTAACTTAATTTTATTCTTTTTAGACTCCTGTTTCGAATAATTTAGAAAAATTTAACTTACTTCTTTGTGTAGAATATATTTTTCTTGAATAAAAGTATTGAAATGGGATTATCCATTAAATGTTAAATGTTATAAATGATGTATTTCAAGGAATATCAAACAAATATGTTTCTACAGTTATTAAATTTTTATGATAAATTTATTAGTAGACAGAAATGTTTAAGTTTTTTTTTTGTATCAGTTATTTATCATAAACCACTTTATAGGATTACTAGCGATTCATGTTTAAATTATTCACTTTGAATTTTAAAACACCGATCTCTGTGTAGGTTGTCTTTATCCTTTCAGAAAGGTAAAAAATAGATAGCAAAAAGGAAACTAGAGTAAAATTCCCGTTTAATTTTCGGAGATGGGCAGAAACAGAGAGAAAACACAGAAAAGCGGATGATAGACAACTACGATCAGTACGAACGATTA